CCCAGGGTGAAACAGTGGTGTTGGCTAGGGCAGTATTTTGAAAATCGCATATGCTGTTCTTCTGAAACTGTAGCAGAGAGACCTTCCTGATTCTGCTAAAAACAAACAAAACAAAAACCAGGTCTCCAGGACACAATTATGGAATCCTCAGTCCCTGGGGAAGGGTAAAACCATACACCTGGTGACTTGATCAAAGCCACTGCTTCTGGAAACTAAGGGGACAGAACCAGGGTACCAGGGGGGTGAACATATCTCCTGCAGGGCCCCAAGAAAGCCTTGGGATCAGAAGGAACCGAGTGTCCCTGACACCCTCTCTTTTGAGTTCCAACACTATCAGAATCTTTCTGGAAGGAATGAGATATCCTTGACCAGCCACTATTTCACCTTAAAGAGAAGGAATTCCACAATGCGTGACAACACAGATAAACCTGGAGGAATTTATATGCTAAGCGACAGAAGCCAGTCACAGAAGGACAAATACTGCATGATATCACTTATACGAGGTATCTAAAATCATCAAACTCATGGAAGCAAAGAATAGACTTACAGTTGCTGAGAGATGGGGGAGGGGAAGCAGGGTGCTGCTAATCAGTATGTATAAATTTCAGTTGTACAGGATGAATGGGTTTTAAGATCCGCTATACCACACTGTGCCTACAGACAACAGTACTGGATCGTGCAGCCAAAGGTCTGTTCAGAGGGTAGATGTCATGACAAGTGTTCTTACCACAATATAATTTTCTAAAGGAAAGAAAGAAGGAAGGAAGGGACGGAGGGAGGGAGGGAGGAAGGGAGGAAGCAAAGAAGGGAGGGAGGAAGAAAGGAATGCAACATCCACTTTGGAATGTACTTCCAGTAAAGGGAAAGTCTCAGATGCAATGTGTTTAAGTCCATGGGCTGGCTCTGGCTGGAACCTCTTAGCTCCCCACCCCCCTCCCCAGGGCAAAATGCCATGCTTTGGGAAACAGTGGTTAAATACTGAGTATAAACAAAGTTACTCTGGTGCCCCAGAATGCAGCATCCTTTACTGCTTGTGCAAAATGGCCCAAGAAGGGCACAGCCACCAAACCACCCAGCCTCCTCCAGGTTGTTCTCAACAGCGATACCATGAGGCAGCACCTAAAGCCACAGGCAGGTGAGCTGGTCAGTAGCCTTAAGCTCCCTCTTTTCCTGACTTCAGAAGCAGAAAGGGTTTTGGAGTAGAACTCTGTCATTCTTAGATGACAACAGAAGGGAGCATACTCCAGAGGAAGATGCTAGACCTCTTGGTAATAAAGTGGAGCTGAGGTGTCTTTGGTAATAAAGTGGAGCTGAGGTGTCTTTATTGATTAGAAACATACAGGACGTATGAACATGTTTGAGCACTCTGAGCCAGTGCTTGATCGCTGAATTTATTTTGGATTATCAGAGTTTGGGGGAAAGGAGGTAAGGCGGAGGTTTAAATTATGCATCTATAACAACTTGCAACAGGAATAAAGGAATATACCTCCTTTATGGCCAAACCCAGCTCTGACATCCTTCCAGGCACTAAGGAAAGGAATCAGAGGGTCAACTGGCAAGGGAGACAATGTGTTTCAGGGAAAGGAGAGTCTTTTAACTTTCATCACACCCTCCTCGTAATGCCTCTGCGTTTGCTTTTCTGTAGGCAAGCTTGGAGGCCCCAACCACCCCAAGAGGAAAGGAACCAGTCAGCTTCTCTAAAAGGGAAAGGAAAAAAGAAAAAGTCAAAAGGGAAGGCTCAAGTTGCATCTCATCTGTTTGAAGGCACAGGGCAGGAGAGAGACAGGCTTTGCGCAGAGGCACCCCTGGACCCTGGCGGAAGGAGCCGGTGCGCCGCGAGTTGGAAACTATTAAGCGCAGGTGAGTTTTAATGATCTGGAGCAGCTCTGATAGCTGCTGATACAGAGATGGAAGTGGAACATTTGAAAGTGTGAGCTTTCAAAGAAAACTGTTTTTAGGAAGCAATTTCTCCTCTCGCTGTCCCTTTCCTTCGGGAGTACTTCAACGAGGCCTTAAGTCATCCTATCCGAGGGGCCTCCCTCCCTGAGTGGGGAAGGGTCAGGGTACCTGTAACGTGAAACCCTGCAGAAGCCCCAGCTCCAGTGAGTGCCAACTGCTCTCGTGGGCAGTAGTAACTACAAGGGCCTCATCGGGCAGTAGTAACTACAAGGAGAGACTGAATAAAAGACATAAATTAAAGAGAAGATTAATAAAATCTGATGAAAGAAAGACAGCCTTTCTTTCTACGCAGCAGCTTAAATTACATTGACCACATCTGACAGGGAGGAGGTAATCATCAGTAATAAGTCGAGGTTCTGGAAAGAAGTTACGGGCTAAATTACAGCGATGGGTACCCCCGGGGAAGTTGCTGATTCACCTTCCCAGGGAAGACTCAAGACCGGCATAAAACCCATCAGTTCCCACTGAGACAAATTTCACTTGGTAGGGCCCCTGGGTCATCCAGGATCTGGAATTCCAAACAGCCTTCTGGTTATTCACGCCTCCACCCCACTGCACAGCAGCCGCGGTCAGTGCACCCCTACCTTGGGGTGACCAGGCACCATCAGTTATGAGGCAGGAATGTCCCTACTGCTTCCGCAATACGTTTCTGCCCCTTTCAGCTGAGGCCACCCTCTGCTACTGAGGCTGTCCCAACACACAAAGAATTCCTGGAACTTTCCTAGCAGATCAGTCTAATCCCCCTGTTATCTGCACATTCCTTTAGCCATCTCCCCCAGGACACCCCAACTTCCCAAACTTCCAGCTATTTCTCACTACAGCTCAGCAGAAAAGCAATCTGACTTGGCTAATTTACAGCAACTCTCCAAGGATTCCCTGTGTTGAGGATACCAGGCCCGGCAGTGCGGATGAACTGCTCAGAATGGGTCTCAGCCTGTGCAGGAGAGGTCACCGGCCTCCGCGGAGCTTGCAAGACAAACCTCACGAGGAGACGAGGGCGGTCTCCATCCATACCACCTCCCCCACTTCCGGCCACTGCTCGGTGGTCTCTCCCACAGCTCTGTTCCCTCCCCATGCAGCTTCCTGTCTTGAGGCCGCCTGGCTTGGACCCATTAGCAAACAGCGTAACATCTACCGTAGAGGCAGTGGGGAGCTGTATCTGGGTGGCTTTAAGCCACGTCCTGCTTCTAGAAGAAGGATCTCTTCTGTTGGAGGACAAAAGGGGGCACAGGAACTTGAGTTTCAGATCCAGGAGTCTTCACAGGAGGGCAGTTCAGAATCTCCGCTCCTGGGGCTCCTGGGTGGCTCAGTGGGTTAAGCATCCGACTCTTGGTTTCATCTCAGGTCAAGATCTCATGGTTTGTGGGTTCGAGGCCCACATCGTACTCCATGCTGACCATGCCTGCTTGGAATTCTCTTTCTCTCTCTCTCAAAATAAATAAATAAACTTAAAAAAAAAAAAAAGAATCTCTGCTCCCTCCCATCCTGCTCCTACAGCTCCTTCCCTGCACCTTGCTCCTCAGCCACATTCATCTCCAGCAGAGAGGTCTTCTCCCCGCTGGCTGCCTGGCTTTCCCAGGTTATGGCTGGTCAGAGGTTCTGCCTCTTCCTTCTAGCAAGCTGCCCCTGCTTCTAGCTTGTAGCTAAGAAAATCTCAGTGGAACCGAGGCCTCGAAGTGAGAGAGTCCTTGAAGAAGGTACATTGCAGGCAATCATCCACATCATTCCTCATACAGCAAGTCACCTGCTTCCAGAAGCAACAACAACACAAAGTGTAAGGACATTACTTCCGGAAAAACTTTCAGCATGAGAGGGTGCCGTAGGGAGTGAGGATTTTTAATTTCCTTTGGTCACCATTGGAACTAGTTTAAGGGGAGAATGGGCTGCTATTCTATCAGAGTAAAACACACAGACCAGAAACTCAGCTCGCCAGTCTCTTCAAAATATGACATCCCCCCTCCCTGCTCTCTGCTCTTTAGAAATGGGAGCCTAAAAGAAAACAAGCACACAGTCACGCTCTCATCTGCTTATCCGCCTGTGAACACTTACTGAGTGCATAGGATTTTGTCAGACCTGGTGTTTGGAGGCTCCTGGCTCTACCCTGGGGATAAAGTGCAGGTGGTGTCAAAATGATGCCCCAACTGAACCCACATCCGGGGATCCAGCCTGCATGTCTGAATGTAGCACTATCATCGCCTCAGGGTGCAAAAACTCAGGTCTCTGCTTATCAAAATCTACTTGCTTCCATCAGCAGCTGAATTCAACCCTGTTCTAGAAGGACACACATCAAATTGTTGACAGTGACAGCTGGGGGCAAGTGGGAGCAGAGCGAAGGGGGAAGCTACCTAATTCTTTATTCCTTTTTTTTTTTTTTAACACAGAGAATGTGTTCACAGATTCTTTCGAACATTACAATAAATTAATGATGTGGCCTAAAAGGAAAATGAAGGTACTGTTTTCAACCACAGCGCAGGGCTTAGCAGAGGGTTCTGATGGGGACTGAGATCCAGAAGTATGGCTGAGCAGGGGGGTGCCAACTTTTCTTAGCCACAGGGGTGACTGAATGGCCCAGAACAGACCCAGGCATTCTAGAAGTTGTCTTCAGGGCTGGACACGGCTCAGTCTCTCTCACTGGTCTCCCTCAGATTTCAGGCCTTGACTGTCAAGAGCCCCCATATCTGCAGCCCACCCTGCCCTGACCAAACTAATCCCTGGAGATGCTTGGAAGCAGCTCAGAGCCTCCTGAGCGGACACAAACCATTCAAGCTCGCCTGGCCTCAGGTGACCCTCTGTGGATACTAAGCACCTCTCAGAGCTTTCCCCAGGTTCAAGAGGGGAGCCTTCCTCAGCACAAGAGCCTGATCAGCTTCTGGAAAACCCTGTCAATGCAGAGGTCAGGTCCTGGCCAGCCTGGCCCACCGCCTGCCCTCCCCTGAGCCTGACCCACCCCACCTCCTGTTTCTGAGACTCAGAAAACACTGAAGCCGCTGCAAAGGTCTTCCTTGCCAGGCCATCCATCATCCAGCTGCCGGGCCGCTTACCTGCAGATGTAATTGGTCTTGCACGAGTCCTGCAAAGTCAGGCAGTTGGGTTTCTCCCTCTCCTCGTAGGAGCACACGGGCACGATGGTCTGCCGCCTCCGCTCGGTGCACGCGATGTCCCGGCAGGAACAGAAGAGCATCCCGTAGCTGTGCTTGGCAGGCACCTTGTCAAAGAACTGCCGCAGGGCCTTGTGACACTTGCGCCGGTTGCAGACCTCGTTGGACATGCTGGTGGTGCAGGGGGTGATGTACGCCGACCTGTACTTCTTACAGGTGTCGTCGAGGTTACAGGCCTTGGCAGCGTCCAGGCAGTTGTTCCCTTTGGGCACGTGCTCCACTACAAAGGAGAGAAAGGCAGGCATGATCACAGTGCCGGGAGATCCTATCTTCACCGAGATCCGGCCGTTTCCCCAGCGAGGCTGGGAGCTCCGATCAACTCTGCGTTTTGAAGCTAATAGGAAACGAGTTCACAGCGACAAGAAAATAGAAGGCGTGCAAAGGCTGGGAACCCAAGGCAGCCCACAAGTCCCTAACGCTCCCTTAGATGCATAATTAGGCGGTACCGAGCAAGGCCAAAGGAGGGAAAGTTGCTCAGGCACCTGCCTGACTACCTATAAACAAGACAACAGGAGAATAAGTTTCCAGCTCCTGGTTGGTAAACTTAAATTAGGAGAAAAGAAAAAAAAGCAACAAATTATATACTTGTTCATTATACAGTATATAAAATGATATGCTGAATGTAAGTATAATTGCCATGCAATCCTCCAGGAATATAATTATGTAATAAATGCATATAGTACATGCTAATTACTATATGATTACAGAGTAATTACATGGTTATTTGAGCCCAGAAGACAAAATATTATGCCAGCTCTCTAAACAGGAAGAAGCGGCTACGACGAGGCTGTATTTAAGTTCTAGCTCATAGGCCATTGGAAGAAAACCAGAATAAATTACATGAAAATCTGCAAACCTCAATTACCACTTAACTTGCTACACACAAAATGTGGGATCTATGAGTATTGAGGCTGCAGATTAGAAAAACTCAGCTAGTATTCCAGATAGAATTTCAATGGGTTTACAAGCCATAGGCTTTAGGAATCTCACAAAACCTATGTTGCCTTCTGACCAAACCCTTTCTGCTCATGCTCAGAGAAAACAGCGCTGTCCACTGCCAAGCTGCCCACCGTGCGGCCCGGAGAGGGAGAGCGTAGGGGCGGCCAGGCCCACCGCAGTAGCCAGGTGGTCTCGCAGGGTCAGGCTCAATGGACAAAGTTAATAGATGAGTAGACGAAGGAAATGAAGCTTGACACCATGATATGGGTATTTCCACAGGGAGGGGAAGTGATGGAAAAACCTTCCAGAGTGAGGTTATAAGGTGGTCCACGGAAAATTGATCACTAGGTACAGCGCTGACCCTCTGGAGGCAGCAAGGAGGCAGCAGACAACACCACTCACCTGTGGGAGTCGTGCCCCACCCCCCCCCACCTCCAGTAAGTTCCTGCTCAGGCCTCACTCAACCCTTGCTTGGGTTCCCCATTTCATTCTTGTTGTGCCCCAGCTGATGGGAGCCATGAATGCATTTGGGAAATGACAAGAGGTTAGGGGACTGGCAAGAGAGGAGAAAGGGTCCATTGGGTTGGGTGGGTCTGAAAGACAGGGCGGTGCATTTAGTACACATCCAAAAGGCACGTGGAATATCATTCAACCTTAAACAAAGAAGGGAATCCTGCCTTAGGTGGCAACGGGCATGAGCCCTGAAGACATTATGCTAAGTGAAATAAGCCAGTCACAGGACAACTACTGCAGGATTCCACTTACACGTTCAAGGGGGATCAACATTTGAGTATGCAAGATGAAAAAGTTCCAGAAATCTGTGGTACCGCATCACGCCTACAGTTTGCAGTAGTGTTGCACACGGTTATGAGGGTACATTTGTTAAGAGGATAAAATCTCATGTTAAAGGTCCTCACTACAATTTTTTTAAACATAAATAAGGAAAGGGCACACAAGGCAAATCTAACATTTCAGGGAAAGAAGACCACTTCCTGTTTTACTGACGATGCATCTTGCTTGACGAAAACCCTGTATGCAAAAGTCTGCAATCACAAAATGATACCCTGGCACCACCAGCAGAACCCTATTACGCCTCAGGTTCATGTTTCTGCTATGATATCTGAATCCAAAAATTTAATGTGAAAGGCAATAAACAAGACATCCAGCCCATGTCGGGTGAGCAACGCGGGAAGCCAGCGGCTGCACATACATCCCTGCCAATTTAGCAAGCACCCCTAGTGCATTTTTTCCACCCTGACCTTCCCAGGCCAGCTTTCCTCTGGCTCGTCTGCTTTCACACTCAAGCTCCTAGGACTCAAGAAATGAAATATTTGCCAAGTGCTCCGACAGGATCACCAGGGCCTATAGGCCTCAGTAACACTTCCAGCCTTTTCCTCTTTTGAGACTTTTAATGTCATGCTGTTGCGCCCATCAGCAACAGTGATTTATATTCTCGAAGGTCTAGGATCCCATAGGAGATTTCTAAATGATGCATTTTTAGTGATAATCTAAAATAAATTAATATGATCAAATTCTGGATCATCTGGGTTAGGCCCTTAAGGCTACATATTGGTACATAATTTTACCACCTGCACTTCCACTTGCCTTGGTATTGAATCGTACTTTATGATCTCTAGCTAAAAAGAATGGAGGCACTGAGGTGCACTTAATACTTAAATGACGTAGCCAGTGATATAGGAACAAACAGTTCATGTAAGTTCAAGTGGAAGAAAATGGCCAAAGAATGAAATCATCATATGACGCCTAGGAACACAGGCCTGCTAAACTCCAAAGAAGTTATGCTGAAACAGAGAAGTATATTCCAATTGTAAGCACCAATTTAGCTTCAGCAAAATCATTACCCCTTACATTAAATTAATGTTATTAACTTGGCAATTCATAGTTTTCAAAGTTCTGTTCATATTTAACTTATGTGTTGTTTTTATAGTTGTATAAAATTAAAAAAATAAAAGTTTATAGTTCTTTTTTCAGAGTGTCAAATAAAATTCCAGTAAATATACTAAAACTCAACACATGAGGTCCAGAAAATATATTTCTCTCTTAAAGTAGCCTATATAATACATAAGTTTTAAAAAAAATTGACCTGGAGGAAAGCTCCTTGACAGGGGTCTTGGCAATGAATTTTTGGATATGATAGAAGGAACAACATAAAAAATAAACAAGTAGGATGGCACCAAACTAAAAAGCTTCTGCACAGCAAAGGAAACCACTAACACAGTGAAAAGGCAGCCTATGGAATGGGAGGACATACTTGCAGATCATGTATCTGATAAGGAGTTAATGTCTAAAATATATAAATAACTCATACAAGTAAGTAGCAAAAAAATAATAATTTCATTAAAAAATGAGCAAAGAACCGAGGCGCCTGGGTGGCTCAGTCGGTTAAACATCCGACTTCAGCTCAGGTCATGATCTTGTGGTCTGTGAGTTTGAGGCCCACATCAAGCTCTGTGCTGACAGCTCAGAGCCTGGAGCCTGCTTCAGATTCTGTGTCTTCCTCTCACCCGCTCCTGTCTCGGTCTCTATCTCTCTCTTTCTTTTAGCAGTAAATAAACAAAAAAATGAGCAAAGATCCTAAAAAGACATTTTGCCAAAAAAAAAAATATTCCAATGGCCAACAAGTACTTGAAAAGGTGCTCAACCTCACTACTTATTAAGGAAATAGAAACCAAAACCACAGTGAAGTATCTCCTCATACCTGTTAGAATGGCTAACACAAGAGACAAGAAAAAACAAATGTAGGTGAGGACGTGGAGAAAAGGGAACCCTGTGCATTGTAGGCAGGATTGTAAATTGGCATGGCCACTATGAAAGACATCTGGATTTTCCTTGAAAAATTAAAAATAGAACTATATGATCCAGCAATTCCACTTCTAGGCATAAATCTGAAGGAAATGAAATCACTAGAAGAGATATCTAAACCCCCATTTTCACTGCAACATTATTTATAACAGCCAAGACATGGAAACAACCTAAGTGTCTGTCAACAGGTGAATGGGTAAAGAAAACATGGCGTATATATACACAATGGAATAATACTCAGTTATACGACAGGTAATCCTGCCATGTGCAACAACATGGGTGTTAAGTAAAATAAGTCAGACAGAGAAAGACAAATACAGTACAATCTCACTTTTATGTGGAATCCCCCCCAAAACAAAACAAAACAAAAACCAAAAACACCAAAACCCAAACTCACAGAAAAATAAAAAATCAGCTTTGTAGTTACCAGAGGCAGGGGAAGAAGGTGAACTGAATGAAGGTAGTCAAAAGGTACAAACTTCCAGTTATAAGATAAATAAGTACTGGGGATATAATGTATAACATGATGACTATAGCTAACAATGCTCCATGTTATATTTGAAAACTGCTAAGAAAGTAAATCCTTAAAGTTCTCATCACACACACAAAGACATTTTTCCTCTTCCTCTTCTTCTTTGTCTCTGTATGAGGTAAAGGATGTTAACTACACTTGTGATAATCATTTCACAATATATGTTAAGTCAAGTCATTATACCATATACTTCAGACTTACATATCTTAAGAAAACTAAAAGAAAAAAAAAGTTGGTTCAGTGTATGCCTGCTTTATAATAATGTTAGCTTCCTTTTTAAAGTTGCTAAAGCTACATCAACTACTAATTTTTTTTCTTCTTAATGTTATCAAAAAGAAAAGCAATATTTCAAAGGAAAAGCTCTGTACAAAGTGGGAATAGAATGAAACATCTTATGTCCAAACCAATTGCTCAAACTTTACTTCATTTAGCAATTGGTGTGACTCAAATTCACTTTCAGCTGATTCTGTTTTCATCGATATATAGCCCTGCCAGAGCACCATCTCTTCTACCATTATTTTAGAACCAGTGACAAATTTCAGAATGCACAACATGGCACATTCATGGAGGCAAAAACAAACAAACAAACAACAACAACTATAAATTGATTTCCAGCTCATCGGTCAATGTGTGACTTGCTTTTTGTTTCTGATTCTCATCATACAAAATATTCCCATGACCCTTTTTTCAATTTGATATGTGAGGCCAGTCTTACCCAAATAGCAAACCTGATGAAGACAAGAGAAGAAAATTTTTGCAGACTAATATTCCTTATAAACATAGATTCAAAAAGTTTAGTAAATAGCAGTTAGCAATATGTTAAAAGGATAATGAACCACAACCAAATGAGAGCTTATCCCAAAAATGCAAGTCTGATTTAATAATTAAAAATTAATGTAATTTACCATATTAACAGACAGGAAGAA